TACCGTACGTTAGTACCTTACGTACGTACTAACGTAACTACGTAACGTAACGTAACGTTACTAATACTATACTTTAGTCTTTGTTTATATTATATAGTATAGTTTTTCTTCATTACCCATTCAAGCCGTCTCCAACCATTATTAATACCAAGTTTGTCCACAAGTAAAATAACATTAATACCAAGTTTATTCACTTACCTTGTTTGGTGGATAAAATAAAATTGATAGAAAGTTTGTCCACTAACCTTGTGCATTCAGTAATATAGGATTAATATAAGTTTGTCATTGAGTAAAATAAGATTAATAGAAACTACTCTTTCTCCTTGTAAGAAGTGTAAAAAAAAGACTGTCTGCTAACCTTGTGGGATATGGAGTATAAGAATTGTGAAGCCAGACACAAGATCATTCAGTAGATATTCACGGGGTTGATACTGAGGTAACCAACGAATAATTGGAAAAAAGACAAAAAAGAACCTTATCACGCAGTTTCTAGTACAGCTACATGACTTTTTCAACTTCTCTGTGACCTATTGATTAAAGGAAATAAAATTCTCCAGTAAATTTTTCTTACTCTTTGTAAATTAATAAACTTTGCTTATGATACTAGATTTATTAAACTTTTGGGCATTTTCACCTATAATGAAGATGTTGAGGTATTAAAGAATGACTTGGATCAATCATTAAGTTGGACAAATAACTGGCAAATAACAATTATAGTAAGTGAAAAGTAATGCATTTTGGTTCTAAAGGAGGTCAAAAATCAGATATGAAAGCTTCTCTGTTTCATTTCTAATAGGAGAAAAGACATTGGGCAGGTTCATGAGGATTGGAGAGTTGCAAGTGTTACTCCTATTTTTAAAGAGGATAACAAGAGTTGCCCTGACCAGTTAGTTTTACTTCTATAAATGAAAAGATTGTAGTCTGATAAAAGAAGTTTCCAAAATCTAGTGAAATATGATACTGCAAAAAAAAATTACATGTTACTTGAATGATAGAAAGAGTGAGAAGTTGGCACACTCATATTTTCAAAAAGCTTTTGATAAAGTGCCATACGAAGAGTATCGACTATAATCAATCAAATTAGTAACACTTTGGAAAGTAAAGGCTGGGTTTAGATTTTTACTTTTCTCAATGGTAAGTGTGCAGTGATAGCATTGAAGGACCAAATAGTTCATTGTTGTCCATATTTTATGCTAAGTAAATTTGGTTATAGGATGATTGAAAGAAAGAAAGCAAAAAGTTTTTAATGCAGTCCAGTCAAACTGGACCCTTGTTACTGGTGGTGTTCCTCATCAGTCAATGCTTGTGCTTTTTCTTATTTACATTAATAATATTCATATGGGCATAATTAGAAAAAATAGTAAAGTTTGCTGATGACATTAAACTCTTGCATACTTTTAGCTGTCTTGAAAATATAAAAGTACTACAAAATGACTTGGATCAATTGGTCATTTGGACAAATGACCTTCATTATAGTAAATGATATTTGGATTTTCCTAATTTGGATGATACATGTAATAGAGATGAGAGGATCGACATAAGCTTATGTTCGGAAAAGGCAGTTTTATTTTTCTAATAAGATGATTTGCCTATAGAATGATCTTATGAGGGGTATCAGTGCTTTCCTGAAAACTAAAGTGGATTTAATTTTTCCTTTTCTTCAATTTTCTTAGGAGTTACTAAGTGGCTAGATATAGCATTGAAAGACTGAATAACCCTTAATGTTTATGTATTATGTTATTTCACACATTTGATGTAAAACTTCCAAGGAAAATGTATTAATTCATTCTCACTAAGTAAAATTTTATCAATAAAATATATATATATGTATTTATATATCAATATTTGAATAAACAAATT